GGTAGCTGGGATGTTAGTATGGTAAGTTACAACACCTTGTAATTCTCAAATTTTGGAAAGCCTAGTCGAATTAGCAGCAGGCACTTGGTGTGAGGATAGGAACATAAATACAAGGTAAAAAACTATAATTGGTGATTAACAAAATGATTACGAAACGACTGTCTGCTTTCAGTGGTGGTCACACAATCAAAAAATAGTATAACCAGTGTAAACTAGTCAACAATGTTATTACTATTTAGTGTAAAACAATGCATCTGAAGATATAATTGCATACCTTGACACCCAACTTTTTCATATCATCCATTGCCAGCTGGGGAAAGTACTCAAGCCAGAAAACAGGATCCGTAAACTTGGGTATTTCCTCGGCCGGTATGCCCATTGAAACCAAAATTTGCCATTGATATTTTATGCCACCAGTCTTAGCCACCGCTTTGCTCTTCTTACTCTTTGACTTGTTGATTTCAATCTAAGCAAGAACAAACTCAATGAGATATGAATGAAAAAACATACCGTATTCTCTTCCTTTGTGGTCGGGGCCTGCTGCTCAGTTTGAACCGGAAATACAGGCGGACAACCGTATTTGGCTATTTCCTCGGCAAGTTTATCAGCAGATGCCTTTATAGGGGTTCCGGTACAATGAAAGCCCATGGGCCACAAGACGGACTTGCCCTTGAGTGCCTGATAAGAGGCCGCAAACTATACCGAACGGGAATATAGAGGCAATAAAACAAACCTCAGCCTTGGTAATAGAGAAGGCGTGACCCAGATGCAGGCGGCCGTTCATGTAGGGATAAGGAAAGGTGACAAAAAACTTCTCGCTGAAGAAGAATATTGGAAGCGATAAGAATCTAAGCTTACCTTTTGTTGTGCGCATCTGATGGAGAATCGATCTCGAAAAGATGTTCTGTGGACCACTGTTCTTGTATTTTTGTTTCAATATTGGTTAGTTCGGTTAGCTTTGCCGTGCCTTTACGAGCCATTTTAGGACTGGAAAGGGTCAAACTGGCAAAGTTTAGCTAAAAGAGAAACAAGTACAGTTACTTGGAGGATTGAACGGAATGTTCGCAATTTAAATGTGGCTTAATCAGTCTCCAAAACAACGCTGTATACAAATCCCGGATAATCCAAATGATCGTGGAACAAAGAAATGCAAAATGTTGCCTTTACAATCTTTCCTTCTAAAAATCTGGATGAATCTTAATCAACATAGCCTCGGAGGCACAGCTCAAGTACGTTTTATCGAAAGATGTGACCAACAGGAATGCCTGCTTTCCTATCTTGCATTCAACCAAACAGCGCGCAGCTAATAGCCGATTAAAAAGAGCCCCATACGTTTTCAAACATTACGTAATTGCAATAGCACAAACCTATCATTGGCTGATTTTGCGAAAACATTGCGTGCGATTTTCATGGTACTTTCGGTGAGTTAGGGCGCTGGATAATTAACGCACACTATGTGATAACACGTTAAAACTGTGACGCACTGTACAATATGATATCTTGAAAGGTCCAGGTCGACAAAGTAGGCCGTTTTTTTATCAGCAATGTGCAAACCACACAGTTTTCGAAGGGGTTATATGCCATAGGAAGACACCTCCTGTGAAAGGGCAATTTAGAGCCAATTAGACATAGGTGATACATAGTGTACAGCTCCACACCCTGTTCGAGCC